AATTTCACGCACACTCTTTGTTCCTTCTGGTCGGCCATCTCACTAATCGCCAAAGGGTTGAAACAGGAACGCACACAACAGAGCACCACAGACAAACCACTTAACTCAGACTGACGCCAGCTCACTAACAGTCGCGGGAGACCCCCAGCTAACACCACCTAGCAGCACAACTCGTAACTACAAAGCATGCGCGCGCAACAGGTCGTTCCGGTTATTTTTGGGTCCCCCTTCGTATGCTGCATGCTTCTAAACAGATCTACAGAATTAAAATACTCACTTTTCAATGAATGGTTCTTGCTAGTTTTACGTGTAACATGAATACTGGGCACAGAATCTGATAGAATTTGACGAAGTAAGGCTCTTACATCTCCCACACACTCGGCCAAACGTACAGACTCGGTGAGAATCTTTTTAGCACCCACTGCAACAAATGAAGGTTAATGTATGTGTGTGTATGCGTGAGTGTGTGCATGTGTGAGACTACTTTACAGTGCTCTAAGTATAAAGACTACGGAATCAGATGATTATGAATTGGGAAGGAGTGGAAAGGAAGTGGCTTAAATAAGGTAGTATCCCAGAATTTGTCTGGAAGTACTGAGAGAAACCATGACCTCAGTTAATACACCTGTCTCCCAGATGAGATTTGAACTAAGCACCTCCAAAATACTAGCCCAATTTACTTGATATGAAGATTAATAAGCATTATATCATGATATGATGTATTCGAGGTTACTATTAGAGGTTTCGATGATATTATGGTATAAGTTTTGAACTCTTGTGACCATGGTAAATGAACCTTCAGGTTCCATAAAAGACAGTGAGTTTCATGAGTAGTTGACTACTAGGATCTTAAGCAAGACACTGCTTCATGTCTTAATTAGTTACTTGTAAACTTGTGTACTTGCTGTATAATAATTTCTGGTCTGACATGTGATGCTCAGATAAGTGTATTAAGTGTGCATTTATACAAGATGGTTCAAATATGACCGGGACTGATTTTTTTTTAAACCATTATTGCCAAATACTTACATGCACATATCAGTTTCCAACGTACTCCCCTCTGGAGTCAACACATTTTTTCCAATGTTCTGGAAGCATCCTGATACCCTTTTCACAAAAGGCTTGTGGTTGGTGGCATATCCACTCCCGAACAGTCTGGATGACTGCATCATTGTCCACAAACCACATGCCTTGCAAGTCTGATTTGAGCCTTCTGAACAGGTAGAAATCACTTGGGACCAAATCGGGACTGTACGGCGGATGTGTCAGAAGGTTCCATTTCAATTTCTGGAGGGTTTCCATTGTTGTTTTGGCTGTATGGGGGCGTGCATTGTCTTGAAGGAAGGCTACCTGCTTTCCACCTATCTTCCGCTTGGATCGAACTTTTCCTTCAAGTCTGTTGCCAGGAGGTCTGAGTAATAAGCTGCATTGACTGTTCTGGCATCTGTCAGAAAGTCTACATGGATAACCCCCTGCCAGTCCCAGAAGAA